TAAATTTGATTTTACTTACAGAGTTTTTTGGTTTAGGTTGTGGGGTTTTTTTCCACATTGTTGGATGCAAGAATGTGCTCTATTTTTTACCACAGGGAAGTAAAATATAAAAGAAAGACTTTTATATCCTTTGTTGTTTCTTGAGACCCTGATCATCCAATAAAAGCCACAAATATTTATTGGATAAACACCTATTTAATGCACTTCATTTATTTTGAGACTGAACAATTCTAAACCAGAAGCTATCCTTACCTTTTACCAAGTTGTTGTGTTGAAGGAAAAATGGGAGTTGACTGTAATTATTCCAGCAAGAGTTCACTTACCTTCTCCTGGGATTGCAACCATCCTGACTGAGAGAACAGAGGCCTCACATTTAGGACAGCAACTGAACTTGCACAGTGGTAAAAACTGGATTAAAAATGCCATCTAGTGGCTTTCCTTCCCTGTCTTGCCACCATGCTTAAAACAATTGTTAAGGCCCATTCTATCAAAATACAACAGATGAGAGAATTTAACACTAACAGTAATAGTTTGTAAAGATATGAGTGAGTGCCATTGAAAACCCCTTGCTAACTCTGTATATGTAGTCATTGAAACTCCTTCCTCAGACAAAAATCAGCCTGACAAAAGAAGCTCCATAAACCAGCTACAATTTTTTGTTCCTCATTTCACTGCTGAGCACAGAGATCCTCTGCTTGGTGAGCTGCACACTCTCTTAACTTTTGCTTTTAAACTTTAATAGCTGTAGTTACAGTACAACTTTGGGATTTTTCACCAATCTCTTGCAAGCAGAAAGATTTTTAGGCAGTTTCCATCATACATATGATATATGTATGATATATCAGATATGATATAGCAGATTTATAATGGCATGTTTCATTATGAGGGTAAATTAATCCAAATACAAGAATTGGGGAAAGGTTTTGCAAGGTACCTCAACACCAGATGGTGCTTTTGGCAGAGTTCAAAGTTCAGAAAGATAAAAAAGCGAGCATTTCAAGAAAAAACAGAGATAAGCCTGAAGAAAATGGAGTGTTATCTTATACCTCAGTGTACCTGCTTTCCTCTCTGAATTCCTCTGCATGCAGAAGTGACCATTTAGGAACAGCACCAAGCATCGAAGGCCTGTCTCTGCTCTGCCTGGGAGAGCAGGGGTCTTACACTTTTTCTCACTAACCCTGAGGAAAGCACAGCAGAGGATGGAACCTGACTGACTTGCACAGAACTATTTCCAACTTGCACAGCTGTAACTCCTCTGATGTTCCATTTATGCTGCTACTTGCGCTGCATTTGAAATTTAGTAACATTTCAGCATCTTACTCCAGGTTGTGAACAGCAACATAGTAATGCAAATCATTTAATTTCATATCAACAGAGTGGAATATTAAATAAAATTTAGGAGCCAGCTCACTCTGTTTGTTTGAGGAGGAGAAGGTGGAAGGAGGAGAGAGAGGAAAGGAATATAATCACTTTTTTACACGTGAGCCTTTATTCCCAAGACTTTCCTGGACTTGAAAACTGACCCCAAGAAATGTAAATTTACTTTTACAGAACTTTAATAAACATTTGTTTGTTTAACTAAAACCATTTTGAGCAACATCCAATAAAAATGATCCATGTGGCATTCAGATCCCATTGCAGCAACTGGGAAGACCTTTGCACCAGTGCAATTACCTTGACTTAAACTGGGTCTTCAGATTAACCCCTGCAGCTCCAGACACTGCTGAGCCTCTGCTGCAACAGGAGAGGCTAAGTGAAGCTTGAGAGCTGGAATGGCACCTTTCCCACAATTGTTCATGCTGTTTACCTCTGTTCAGTGATGTTTCTTGCAGCTTGCCTTCTTTCCTAGTATTTGAGTGTTTGGTTTAGATTACTTAGGACGATCAGACAGGAAATAGCTGCAACCAAACTAGAAAGTGCAGTTGCTCTAACAGACCTAGAGCCACCCTCATTTCTCCATTTGTTTGTAGGTTTTGTGTGTTTATAATAAGAGATTGCTGCATCTGTGGTGCCAATTTGCCTTTTGTGAAAATCCAAAATGCCATATGCAGCAGATGACATCATTATTCAAAGGGCAAGCTAGAGCCAGCAAACAGGATTCATTCTTAAAGGTGCTCAGCATGAAGGTGTTTTGTGGGCTGGTGCTGTTTCCTTTCCAAAAGCTGGTTATTAGACTGTAGAGCTTTTTGTGCAAAAGCACAAAACTCAGTCCGTGTTCACTGAGATGGGCCAGAGAGACAGCTTGTTCAAAGGACCCAGCTTCCTTTGCATGTTCACAAATTTCCAAAGGGTTTGGATCTATTGCTGTTTTCTAATCTGTATCACTAGGCTGAGTCTCTTTATTGCAGAAAAACTTCTGAAAACTAGGAAACTACTTTTAGTAGTAGTTTACTAGTTTGTTTGTTTTTTTTTTTTTTGATTCAAACTTTTTTGCTGCTGGTCAGCTTTTTGACAAAAGGATTGGCTATTTATTAGAAATATTAGTCCAATTTTTAACTTGCTTTCTTAGGTATATCTGGCTTATTTGTTCAAACTTTTTTGCTGCTGATCAGCTTTTTGACAAAAGGATTGTCTATTTATTAGAAATATTAGTCCAATTTTTAACTTGCTTTCTTAGGTATATCTGGCTTATTTGGTGTTTCTGATCTTTGTGTGTCCCCATAACAAGAAATGTTTACAGAAGCCACAGACTTTTCATGAGTATCAGTGAGGTCATGGAAAGTAATCCGTGCTAGCACCTGCAGTGAAGGCAGTGCGGATGAGGAGCAGCTGTTTGCAGCCTCTGGAAGCAGAAGATGTTTAAATTGCACCAAAGTAGCCACAGCCAGTTGTCCAAACGAACAAGCAGGGGGGAAAATAACATTCTATAGGAAAGAAAGAAGGAAACCCCAAATAGTGCAGTCTGGCCTAAACAAGAACACAGAAATCAGTTCAAGAATGTATTTCTACAGAAAAACAGAGTTGCTGACTGTACAAGTCAGCAGATAAGATGGGTCCTTGAAAAAAGTCTAAATATAGGATCTGCTATATTTTAACATATAGCTGCACCTTAATACAATACCTGGAATTAGACTAATTTTCTTATAAATACAGGTAAGGATTTTCTTCTGACACAGGACTAAACTTTGCTCACCTATAACCAGGAAAGTCAAAACCAAATCTGAGTTTTATTTAAAGAAACTAGAGTTCTAATTTTTTTCAATGCAAATTAAGAGCATAGAGCACTATGGCAACCAAGCACAGTTGCTACAGAAATTTGCCATTTTTGATATTCCTAAAGGCAAAAACACTGCAAGCCTGAGCAATACAATTTCTCTCCTCAGATGGAATCAGAGAGTAGCATTTCTACTATTTTTTTCCTTTAATTATATATCACTTTAGTTCATCAGCATAATCAAACACTCCAAAGCAGAATCTAAATCTCAATTCAAGTTGATATTCAGCCCTGTCAAGTACCTTCAATATGGTATTCCTTCTTGTGTTTAGAAAGCGTGGAGTGAAAGGGACATGTCCTGCAGGACTGTTAATTGTTTCACTTTCATTTACTTGGTTCAGCTTATGCATATGAATTTATGAAATTACTGCATGAACATGTGAGCAATAAGTTACAGTTTTCATCTGAAGAGAAGCATTTAACCACGGTGGGAGTGCAGGAAACTCAGAGCAGTCAGGCTTGTTTTCAGGCTGCTGTGTCAGGCTTTATCAGTTTTGTACATGGTACAAAAGCTGAAAATTGGTAGGGCAGAAGGAAGAATCATTAAATCATGGAGTATCCCGAGTTGGAAGGGACCCACAAAGGTGACTGAGTCCAGCTCCTGTCCCGGCACAGACACCCCAACAATCCCAGCCTGTGCATCCCTGGAGCAGTGCCCAAAGGCTCCAGGAGCTCTGGGAATGGCCGGGACCATTCCCTGGGGAGATCCCGAAGCTGCTGTTGGTGGATCTGAGCACTGGACAGAGCAGAGAGGTGCAGGTAAGGGCTGCTCTGGCTGTCCTCTTCCAGCTCAGATTTGTCAGGCAGATAAAATAATTACATCAAACTTAAGGTGGTTTTTATTTTGGCATGTGCTAAAATATTGTTCTGAAAATTTTTGTTAAGATGACCTACTTTTTTTGTATGATCCTCCATGCGACATGAAACTATTGTTTCATTGTTTTAATAAAAACAAGAAACAGGTGAAAGCTCAAAGTCATCTCATCTGGGATGCTTGCACCACATTGCACATTATTCATTATTCAACTCAAAATCCTTCAGTACAAGAAGCTAGGCAAATTGAAAAACGCACTGATAGTATCAAAGCCTCTTGTGACTTGCGAGCCTCTGTTTTTGCAAAAAACAACAAAAAAAAAAAAAGATTGTTAGAGGTTTTAAAGCAGGGACTACTTAGTAACCACTGCGTTAACATCGGTAACTATTGATTAACCTCCCTGCACTTTGGGCCCATTCCTTCCCCTCCTCATCGGGCTTAGAACCGCTCAGTGGAAATGTTAACCGAGATAGGCAGTCATATGAAACCAAAACACCTGGGACTCAGCAAAATGAGCCCTTTTGTTCTCCATAATTTATATGGCAAGTTAATTACAAAAGAGCTTTGCGATTTTGAGCCTCATCAGTCCTCAGCGCTGAAGGGTGTGGAACCGTACTGGAAAAACACCCGAAAAGCCGAGGGGTCGTCGCTCAAGGAAACAGCGTGGTTTTGAACGTTATTATTGAGGAAGAAACCCCTGCTGGTGCTTCTTCTTCCTAACACGTGTCACTCGCTTCCCTTTTGCTCTCGTTATCGGGCTGCCCAGGGCCGCGCCCGGCGCTCCCCCAGCGCCTCAGGGGCGGCGGGCGCGGGGCGGTGCCGGCAGCGAGGGGGGCCGGGGCCCCTCAGCCCGGGCCGGCCCCCGCGGCCGCGCCCGCCGCGCACAACATGGCGGAGGGGCGGGGCCGCGCCCGCCCCGCCGTGTCCTGACGGGAACCCACTGCAGGGAGGGTTGGGCGGCGGGGCTGTCGGTCAGCGCCGTCCCTCAGCCCCGCCGGGGGCAGCGCGGGGCTGGCGGGCTTGGCCGGTGGGCTTGCCGGGGGCGGGGGACGGGACGGGACGGGGCGGGCAGAGAGCGGCCGCCGCCGGGGCAGCCGTGCCGGGGCACAGGGAGTGGAGCCGGGCCTGGCGCGAGGACTGTGCGGAAGCGGGGAGGTGGGAGCTGTGCGGGGCACAGGCTGTGGCGGCGGCGGCGTTGTGGGGTGGGTGTGTGCGGGGCGAGGGGTGTATGTGCCGGGCACGGGGCGTGTTGTGTGCGGGGCAGGGTGGGTGTGCGTGCGCGGACGGGCTGCGTGCAGGGTGCGGTGCGGGGCACGGCCGGTGTGAGCGGGACAGGCGTGTGGGGGTGCTGTGTGTCGGTGTGTGGGGCTGGGGCAGTGGAGGTGGCGCGGCAGGGGTCGGTGTGTGCCGGATACGTGTGGGATGAAGGCTGGGTGTGGGCAGTGTCAGGAGGGTGCGGGAGGGGAATGTGGGGATCCCAGAGGGGCTGTAAATCCAAATGTGACGGGTATCTGTTATCGGGCGCTGCTGCGCTGTGCGGTCCGGCAGCTGCGGCCGTGCCGGGGCCGTGCCCGGGCCCCGCTGGGACATCGCGTCCCCGGGGAGGCAGTGCCGCGCTGGAGGGGGAGCGAGTTTATGTAATAATTGTCTCTTACATAATGATCTTTAGCACACCGCTTTAATTAGCACGCTTCCGGCGGCGTCCTGGGCAGCAGCGTCTGCACACTGCGGCTGGGGAGGACCCCGAGGATGGGAAGGCAGTGGGCAGGGCTGGCACACAGGAGCTCCAGGGCTCGGCAGCGCTGCCTGACCTTAGGCAGGAGCAGGGCTGAGCGGTGTTAGTGACTGCTGCTGGGCGGAAAACCACACCGCCTCGCCCTGTCAGCCAGCTGGGCTGAGCGAGGGACGTTTCTTTAAACACTGTTTCAATCCGGTTTTTGATCAAGTATGTGAAAGACACCCTTCTTTCAATCTCATGTGGCTGAGAGGGGCAGGAAGAGAATGAAGGAAAAATAGAACGGTGAATGGATTGAAAAAGGTTGGCAAACCTTGTCTTGTGCTGTAGGTGCTTTTGGGGTTTAGCTGTTGCTGGACTTGGTAGTGTCAGCTGTCTTCCTGTTATTTTGCTTACGTTCTTTCGGTAGGACAACAAAAGGCATTCTGTGTGTTGGGAGATGCAGTGTCCCAGGGGACTTCAGGCGAGCTTTGGACAGGGAACTGGCACTGCCTTTTCCATCTCCTCTCCTGACATCAGCAGTGAAATTATGCTGTGTCTTTGCCTGTTCTCACCAGGTTACCGGAATCATGGTGGTGGGGTCTGTTGGAATGCTTGTCTTCTCTTTTCTGCGTTAAATGTGGGTAGCACACTTCAGAAATGTTTTGTGACACATTGCTTTGGGTTCCAAACAGCATTTCAGCATTTCTTGGGTTGTATCAGTAGGCCTTCTGTTTAGAATAGCTCAAGGTGACTTTTACTTCCTGCTGATTTCTTGGAAACATTTCCACTCATCTGATCTGGCTGGTTTCTTGCTATTTCTTGTGAAGCGCGCTGCTAAAAAACTGGTGTTGTGGCAGCATGTAGTGTCTTTAGCCTGAGCAAGTGGTTTCACAGGTCACCTCAAAGTGTTTGAAAGCTCATGAAGAACTCTCTTGTTCTCAGTGGCTGCTAGTGGGATCTTTTGGGAGTAATTGTACCTGCGGTGCTGCCATACAATGAGCTTTTAAATCCACGGGGCAAAATTCTGTTGTGAGTGAACATCTGGTTGTACTTAGCACTATCCCACAGCTGGATATTATTGAAAGCAGGAGACAATGTGGAGGACCTCCCCCATGGCAACTGAAGAGCTTCAGCTGCTGAAGTGCCCGAGGTTTCAGTGCTGTTGGCAGCAGAGATCTTGTTCTAATTGCCCTCCAAATGAACAAGCCAAATTGTTAACCTGTAAAAGTTGTCAATGTCTTACACCTTTCACTGTACCAGAGTGCACAATGCTGTAAAAAAAGCATTAATGAACCAGCAGTAAAAATTGCCTTCAGCTGTGTAAAAGATCCTGCCTGCCTGAGGGTTGGTTAAGACCTTGAAGGAAAAAAAAGAACAGCTGAGCTTATAAGCTGTAACAGAATTGGAAAGGTAGACTGGCTTGTTCTAGCTGTGAGGATCATGGTAATTCACATAAATCATTAACTGGCCACATCTCTCAGTCTTTCCACAGGGTTTAAGTACTTATCTTCTCTTGGGTTTGAAGTTTTGAGTCTATTAATAGAGTTGTACTCTAGCAAGCTTTTTTGAGAGTTGTGCAATAATTGTCACTTTAAGTCCCAATTTTTGAGCTCGTTGGATCTGTTTGTTCTGCGTCATGTTAGACGAGGCTTTTCGTTGCGCAGTTTGCAATAATGTTTCTTGTAATGTTGCCATTTCTTCTTGCCACAATGAGGAAAAAAAATGTCTGGAAAGTAAAAATTATCTTTTCTGATGAGTTAAAAGGAGCAGTCATATCCTTGGTTATAATTAAGTGATGGAAATTGTATCACTTTTAAGATGCCTTTGTCCGTAGCAATCTCTTTTGGAAAGAAGTTCTGAATGTTTCTGAGAACTCTAGATATGCTTTTGAACTTCTATATGGAAAGCTTCTTATGAACTTTCTAATTATTTTCCCTCTCCTCCATTTATATTCCAGGCTGCAAGAACATTCCGTGTTACTGAAGGAAGGGGCTCCATTTTTGGAGTGACTTATGATGTCAAGAACTGTATCATCCTGGATTTTAAGCTCAGCCAGAAGCAGCATTATTTTACAAGGGAAAGGACGTTGGTACTCCATCTGTATCCCAAACAGAAACAAGGTCAAATGGAAGCTCATTTTCTCCAAAACATGTCCCTTCCCTGCTGGGAGCTGCAGCTTAGACAGAACTTTCTCCTTTCCCAAAGCATTCCGGCACACTTCCACCGAAGAAGAGCATTTTTCTTTCCAGTTATCTCCGGCACAAATCAACGACATACTCCGAGCAGGTGAACTATCCCACAGAACGCTGGATTTGAATGGCAAGAATGCAAATTCCGTGCTGAGGTTTGAAAGCAACCAGCTGGCCTCCAACAGCCCCATAGAGGACCGGCGGAGCGCGGCCACGTGCCTGCAGACGGCAGGGATGATGTTCGGGGTGTTCGACGGCCACGCGGGCGCCGCCTGCGCCCAGGCCGTGAGCGAGAGGCTGCTGCACTACATCGCTGTGTCCCTCATGCCCCGCCAGAGCCTGGAGGAGATCGAGCTGGCCGTGGAGGCCATGAAACCAGTGCGGCCCATCCTGCAGTGGCACAGGCATCCCAACGATGTGGAGTACCAGGAAATCACCTCGCAGTACTTTGAGAACCTCCGGGTTTACTGGCAGCATTTGCTGGACCTGGATACTGAGTTGGGGTTTAGTTTGGAGGAAGCCATGATTTGTGCATTCAAAAGGTTAGACTCAGACATATCACTGGAAGTTCAGGCTCCTCAGGAGAATGAGTTGATGAGAAATATTGCCCTGCAAGTAGCTTTTTCTGGTGCAACAGCCTGTGTCGCTCACATTGATGGTGTTCACCTACATGTGGCAAACACTGGTGATTGCAGAGCTGTTTTAGGGGTCCGTGAAGAAGATGGAACATGGTCTACTCTCCCTCTAACCCGAGACCACAATGCCTATGATGAATTTGAAATTAGAAGATTGAAGCGAGAACATCCTAGATCTGAGGAGAAAACCCTATTTGTGAATGACAGATTACTGGGGATTCTCATGCCCTCCAGAGCTTTTGGAGATGTGCAATTAAAATGGAGTAAAGAATTGCAACACAGCATTCTCGAGAACAGCTGTGATGTGGAGGCTCTAAACATTTATCAGTATGTTCCTCCAAACTATCATACCCCCCCTTATTTAACTGCAGAGCCTGAAGTCACATACCACAAGTTAAGAAGCAAGGATAAGTTTCTCGTTATTGCTTCAGATGGGCTATGGGAGATGCTGAGTAATGAGAAGGTTGTAAAACTTGTTGCTGGACACCTTACTGAGCTCAACATGCAGAAACCACCACTGACTTTTAAGAAACCAGTTAATTTGGGTTACATGCACAACTTGTTGCTGCAGAGGAAGAGCAAAGGCCTGGCCTCCCTGGACCAGAACACCGCCACCCATCTGATCCGCCACGCGATCGGCAGCAACGAGTATGGCGAGGTGGACCCAGAGAAGCTGGCTGCCATGCTGGCCCTGCCCGAGGACCTGGCCAGGATGTACAGGGACGACATCACCGTCACTGTGGTGCACTTCAACTCAGAAACTATTGAAGATTACTACAGGAGCCACGAGTAGAGCCTTGCACTGCTGCAGTTCAGTACCACTAGGGACCTTCAATCCTGAACCATTCCTCTCGCTTTCTGGTAGTCCTGCTGCTACCAGTGCCTGCAAGTTCCTAAATCTTTTTGTTACTTACTGGCTTTGAAAATAACTTCCTAAAAGGTGACATTTCCCTGGGTTTCCAGGTTTGTATACACTGAAGAAAAATGTTTTCATAAAACCTCACTGAAATATGATTGAACTAAAGATTGTGGACCAGTTCTGATTCCATGAGAATCTCTGGTAAAACTTTCCAATGAACAAACAAGGCAAATTTCACTGAGACTGGTACAGTTTAATAGAGATGGATAATAGGTGTAGCTGCATGGAGTGTCAGGCTCTGCTCTTGTGGAGAGTGAGTAGCGTCCTGTTGAAGCACTGTAACTGAATTAAATAAATTAACTACCAAACCTTTTTTGGATGTGTCAGATATTTTAACAAATTGTCCCATATTTATAAAATAACATGAAAGAAGGCTGTTCAAAGAACCCTGGGATTGTCAGATGTCTTTCCTGATTCTCTTCCTTAAGCAAGGGAAAAATTGTATCTTCTTGTGCAATTCTTTTCAAGTGGGAATTCATATTCTCTTAACTCTGTGTGGACTTGTGTGACAGCTTAGAGTTCAAACACATGAGGGCCTTGACAGTTCCCTGTTCAGGATTTTAACAGTACTAGACTTAAGCATTTAAGTCTTTTGCTTAAACAGTGTACTCTTTATTAAAGTATTGATAAGTTAAATTGTTTGTCAGATCCAGAAGTTCAAAAATTCACCTAAAAGTAAATACAGCAAAAGAGAGCACCTTTCTTTCCAGATTTAACTTAGAAGAGATAACAGTGCTGATACTTCTCCAATGTAGGTTTAATCTTTCATTCTTGCTTGTCCTTATAGGTACAGAGTTATTTTCCCTAATGAATATATGTTTTAGTCTCTGAACATATACAAAAGTGTATTTTACAGTGGTTTTCCTTTATACTGAGCTTTCCAGAGTGCTGTCCAAGCTTGCAAATAAGCTTTTACATAAGGTGTTGTCTGGTGCCTCTTCCTTGTTTACACTCAACAGGAACTGTTTCCCACAAGGCTGTACACACTGGGAATACAGACCTGTTTACTGTTCTTGCTGCTGAGTTAGAACTCGTGAGGGTGCAGAAGAGCAAATAAAAATATTACTTTTTTTCTTAAATCACTTTAAAAACATTATCCTCCTACAGTTTAGAAGATTAAAAAGTTAGTT